GGAATTTTGGTTTTCAGCAAGTTCTTCCTGTGACTTCATGCCTAACTTGAGAACACCTGAATCAGAGTATCAGAAGCAGCAAATGTAAACCGCTACACACCGTCAGCTCAGGAGAAAGTGCATAAAATTAGTAGCCAAAAATTCAGATGTTGGAAGCACCACAAGAAAGAGCCTTATCTTAGAATTCCAAGCAGAAGGAGTTCTAAGAACATTTATGATTGCCTTTCTCTACTCTTATTCTTTAATTCTCTCTTTAAAAAGAGAGAAATATTTCAGACATACACAAGATAATATAATCGCGATTTGTATGTGTACAACCATTCTAAAAGAACAAAAATCCGAGGTCCTTTGTTTAACCCTCATAATTTGACTTTCTCCATGTTTTGTGTGCACCTGGAATCAAATCCAGGACCTTCACACTGTCCTGCATTCTCAGCCCTTTTTTATGTTTTACTTTGAGGCAGGGTCTTGCTAAGTCATCCAGTCGCCCAGGCACAGCTTGAACGTGTGATCTTCCTGCCTCCGCCTCCCAGAGTGCTGGGATTACAGGCGTGTGTACTATGCCCAGCATATTTTCTCCTCCTGCCACGTCCCTAAACCCATCTAACCAATATCTTGAACTCAGTGTTTACTCATCCTCATCATTTCTTTTATACTATATATCTCTCTTCAAAATATGTGGATTCAAATGAAATTTTGTTTGCCCTATAATCAATTTCAGCTCAATATTTTATTATGAAATTTATCCATATTGATGCAAGAACCTTAACTTCCTTTTTCATGCTGTATTTTTCATTCTGTTTTATGGAAAACCTACAATTTGCTTTTACTATCTTGTTGACAAATGTTTAGATCGTTTTCTGTGCTTTCTGTCATGAATATTCTTGTTCCCAAGGATAAGAGTTTACCTGTTCACATTGTAACCTTGTTTTTTATTGCCAGATTATTCTACAAACTTGTACCAGTTCACATATTCAAGGAAATATTTTTTAAATCTATTTTTTCATGAGATTTCTGTATTTCCCCATGTCTGGTGTTCAGAGGCACTGTGGTATTCCCCCTCTTATTACAATTTATCTTTTCAAGTTAATTTCCAAAACAAATATCCCCAGAAAACAGTAGCTCCTGCTGCAGTGCATCAAAGATTTGGTGCCCAGTATATAAAGTTGTCTCCTTTTGGAGCACTGGCTGGGCAGATTTGGTTACTGTCACTTATAAAATATAAGGATTTTAAGCTCAGGGACTGTGAGATGTCATACACAACCAAAACACATTTGCCATCCCCCTGGGGCTTCTCAGATTCCCCTATGGGGCCTTGGAGACAAGAGGAACCAAAGCTATGGGATAGCTTATGACGTCTGCTTTGTCATGAATCCATTTCTTCCACATGACGACGGGCTCCAGGGTTCTGCTGGTGGCCATGACACTACTGCAGCATGACTTGTTAGCATGTGTGTGAGCTAACGTCTCACTGAGGTCCTATGCCTCACACACTGGTTCTGACATGCAGAAAGATTCTCCTTTGTTGATATCTTTAGCAAATGTTGATATTATTACTGTTTTAAAGTTTTTGTCTATCAGATGGTAGGGATTAGTGTTGTGGTTTTGATTTCCATTTTGATTCATTGTGAGGCTGGGGCTTTCTCTAATTAGTGAATTATTGAATAGCCTCATCTGTGAAATGCCTACTCTTATTTCTCTCTTTTACCTACTGAATTCATCTTTTTCTTCTGGTTATAGGAGTTTTAATATATTCTAGTTAACTTTATGTGTTGCAAATATCTTTTACAAAAACCTGGCTTTTCCTGTTTGTGTAATAAGAAGCACTGATAAAAATACATTTTAACTTGAATTTTTAGATTTAGAATTAATTTCAAATGTCAGATTGGCTAATTTATCAGTCTCTTTGTGATTCATGCTTCTCTTTCCCATTTTTTTAAAAAAATGGAATATAATGCCTGAGGCAATAATGACATTCTTCTGTCTTCTTTTCCCACTGACTTCTTTTGCTTTTTAAAAAATTGATTGATTGGGCCGGGGATTTAGCTCAGTGGTTTCGCTGCCTGCTGAGCAAGCGCAAGGACCCAAGTTCGATCCCTGGTACCAAAAAAAGATCGGAAGAGCTTTTTTTTAATTAAAAATTTAAAACTAATGCATAAGCACCTAAAATTGTACATAATCAGGGGGTACCATAATTATTTTTGTTACATGTACATTGCATAATGTTAAAAATCAGGTTAAGCATATTTATCTCCTCTGGTTTACTTTTGAAATTTAAATATTTGATCCTCCTCAGAATGCATGACTTCGCTCTGTAAAATGGGCAATAAGGATAAAAAGCATGCTTTTTTCCCATATAGATAAGCAATTCTATGCCATGTATTTTTCTTTCTTCTATGTAGACAACAACAGTCCCACAGATTTATATATGGGATTTCTTCTTGTTTCATTCTATTATCTTTTTGTCATTTGCATAAGAATGTATTAATAGCACATATATTTAGATTTTCATTTCCAGAGATCTATCAGTTTAGGCTATATGATTAGGATTAACACATTTACAAAAAACAAATATATAGATATATATGTATATACACATACACATATGTGTTTAACTAGTGTATAAATATAAGATGTACAAGCATATGTACATATGTGTGCTGTGTGTGTGAAGAGAGAGACACGGAGAGAGAGGCACAGACAGAGAGACAGAGACAGAGAGAGGCAGAGGCCAAAGAGAAATAACAACAACAAGAAAAACAAAAGCCTCAGGGAAAATGGGAATCCAAATAAATGGAATTCCTACTCAAACTATTTTTGCTCTCAGTTGTTCAGCAACTCAGAGAAGTGAAACCTTTGATTCCTAATAGTTTGGCAGGGTTGAGGCAGACAAGAATGAAAACCCATGGCCTGCCCAAAGGAAGAAAAGTATGGTTTCACAATCAAAGTGAAAGCGAGTCACACTGTTGACAGAAGAAAGGCACATGTTGAAAGGAATATATCTTTGTCCTAAGCCTCAAAGAACCTCCAAGAACAAAATTTTAAACCATAGGACCAGCATATAGTCAAAAATAACTAAGTGAACAAAAAGGAAAAAGAACCATGAAAAGGATAACATATATTTCAGATATGAAAAGTAGCAGATATATTTTAAGACATCTATGCCTAAATACACTTATATATATTTATATAGAAAGTAATGTCTATATATCAGCAATATGTATGAAATACATGTTTTTGCTGAAAATAAGGAAAATATAAAAAGTTTTATAAACTAGCAATATAGCTTAAAATTAAAAAAAATCATGATTTGTAGTAGCAAACAAACCTATGAATTACTCATTAAGTCTAAAAAATTATATGCATACAATTACTGAAAAATAATTCAAAATGCGAGTAAAAATTTTTCAAATGAATCTTCCATAAAGGGAGACATATGACTCCCAATAAAGGGAGATATTTATTGGTGGGAAGACCAAATATATGTATAAAGATAGAGAGAACATGAGAGGAAGTGAGAGACAGAGCCAGTGGGGATACAGACACAGAGAGAGATTTTTATGTATACAGCTCTACAAATTATTTTATTTTTGTAAATACTGTGCATTTTATTTTTACTAAAGTATAATTTAGACTGACAATATTGAGCATTCTTTCATTTGTGATTCTGCAACAAATAATTGGAGCATAGAAATGCATTATTAATAAAGCATCTGATAGAGTTTTGTTCAATCTTATTTACTGGATTAATCAAGTTCCTTCCCATTCCTAGCTTAGTAATAATTTTATTATAAGGAGTTCAGTTTGTATATTTTTCTCTGTCAAATAGAAAATTGAAATATATATTTTCTTCTTTTGTCAGTTAACTGCATTAACATATTTCCTAATGTTAAACAATTCTTGCAGCCTTATGAGATAAACCAAATTGGATTTAACATGACAGCTAAAATGATGAATTTTGTTTGTGCATATGCAATTTTCCTTTCTTGTATTATCTTTAAGGTTTTTATAACATAAACTGAAGAGGTTGGCAGTTGTTTTTTTTTTTCTTTCATAAATCTCTGGAAAATTTCAAGTAAGATCTGAATTATTTGTTTTCTGAGGAGTTTGTACAACTCCTGTAAGAGAGTCTGAGCCTTGTATCTTTAGTGCAGGAAATAGTCTGAAATCTTTTAAATTGTTTCGATCAGGCCTTCGGCTTCCTTACTCAATGGGCACTATTTACTTCAGTCACCATCCTTTTGTCCATCTTGCCAAGTTCAGTGGTAAATTCCTAGCCCTAATCCTTCTTATAAAGGTGTCGTTTGATTACTTAGAAATAAATTCTTCCCAATGTTTCATTATTATTCATGATCCATTTGTCGTTTTCAAGATTTTTCTCTATCACATATATGACTATTTTAGAGTATGTGTTTATGTTATTATCATCTCTTGTTTCAATAAGCTTGAAAAAGTTAAGAAATCATTCATGTTTCAAAATTCTAATGCTTAGAATACATCATTAAACTGTTGTATATGTAATATGTGCTTGTAAAGACATAAGAAGTTTCAGGTATTCAACAATAATGTTGGGGTGGGGATGTAACTCAGTGGTGTCCTGCCTGTCTGGCAAGTTCAAGGTCATGAGTTTAATCCCCAGTACTGAAAACAAAACAAAACCAGTAATGTTGAAGTCCCTTCAAGTGTTAAGTAAAATAGTTCCCTTAACCATCTCTACAAATCTCCAGATCAAGGATTCTTGTTTGAACCTCCTGACTCTCAGTTAATATTGGATGACCTGTTAAGTCCATTAAATTCGTTTTTATTAATTTCTTATAATTTGGCAGTTATCTGAAAACATCTACAAAATTTGTTACCCATCACAGAAACTTTAATAATGTGTACTTATAAAATATACTAATTTAATAAGCTTCCAGGTTGTTTTTCAGTTGTCTTAGAACACAGTAAGTACCTCTGAAGAAAATAGTAGGAACGTGATCATATAACTTATTTTATTTCAGGCTGGACAGCAGCGTTGGTGGGAACAGGAGATTAAAATAAATGGAAATATTCAAAAGGGAGAATTAATTACATATAACTTAACCGAGCTCATTAAACCAGAGGCATATGAAGTCCGACTGACCCCTCTCACCAAATTTGGTGAAGGAGATTCAACAATTCGTGTTATCAAATACAGTGGTGAGTAAAGTTTTGTTCAAATGTATTTATTTGCCTATTAAACTATATAAAATATTTAACTTGAAATTATCTACCAAATTTAGATCTAAAGCAAAATGTGACATATTGATTTTCTGGACTATCAGCCAAGAGATCAAAGTAACCAAACAAAACCCCAAAATAAAAGTTATCACAAATGTCAATATTCAATTACAAAAGTAGAGATACAGAGCTGTGTTGTGAACATTGAACCTGTGTGATAGTGTACCATCTCTTCTTTATTTGCCATGCCACAAGTTATGATACAATATATGTTTACATGTTATCTTTTCAAATTTTTTATAACTTTGAAATACACCATTAACAAGATAGGAAATAAATAAAATTCTTCCAATTTTTAAAAAAATCAGTAATTTGATCTTAGAGCAATTTTAAGTTTACAGAAAATTGGGCAAAAAGGACAGAATTCCCTCCCTCTGATGCAATTCCTGCTACTATTAAAATCTTAAGGTCCAAAGGGGAAGGAGAAGGGAAAGGGGGGGTTAGGGGAAAAGAAAGAAGGGAAAGGAAAAAATGTGAGAAAAGGAAAAAATGGAAACAGTCCTTGTAAATAGGGAGGAGTGGAGGGTGAAAGGGAGGACAGGGGAAGGGGGAAAAAATAAGAACCAAGATACGTCATGTAAAGGTACAAGTTCCCAATGATGAATGTCATCATATCGCATAGCTAAAATGTACCAATAAACTTAACAAATAAAAAAAAAAATCTTACATTAGGATGGCACTTTTATTATAATTGATTGTTCCAATTTGTTATAATTGATAGTGATTATAATTGATTAACTGATGTGTTATTAAAGACAGTGGTTTACATTTGGGCTCATTATTTATGCCGTGTAGTTATGTAGATCTTGCTGAGTGCTTAATATCACTTCTCCACATTTCAAGATCACAGTGAAGAGTTTCACTGCCCTGAAAAATCCCCCACATTCCGCGTGTCCCTCTCACTCTGTCCATCCCTTGCATCTGCTGATCTTTACATTGTCTCTAGTTTACCTTTCCCCTGAATGTTGTACCCTTGAAATTAAGTAGCATGTAGCATTTTTTGCTTATTTTGAATAACAATACATCGTTAAGGTTTTCCTATATCCATCGTGGCGTGATGTGTTCTTTGTACTAGTGATTACATCTTATTGTATAAATGTTTCACAGTTTATCTATTTCACCTATTGAACAGGACATCTTAGTTGCTGTTTTCTTGTTGGTTATGCTAGTGGCAGTGCTCATTATGTTTAAAATAAAGATGTGAAAATATCTCTATGTGTTAGTGATACTCTGCCTTTATAAACTGTACACATAAAATATATTCCTGGTAGTCAAATGTCCAAGTTGAGCAAACTGGTATTGAAATTTGATCTTCTTAGTGTTTATGTTCAAAGAACAAACAATGCCAAGAAGATTTATTATCTTTTTAATGTGTACTAAAGACTTTGAGTATATGTTGAACTTTGCATGCATTTCAGTACTATAATATTCAATGAAACTATCTACCTCTGGAGTTTTCAGTGTATTTTTCAGAGTTGAATGAATCACTGAAGAAGTACAAGGGCTGATTAAAAAATGCATGTATTTAAATAAAAATATTATTGCAGTGAAAGACACATTGTCATTTATTCATCTCTTCAAGCACACTTATCCCATTGTTCTTGGCACTCTCTGAAGTAGTTCTGGAAGTTCTCCTTCATGTGATCAAGGTCTGATCAAGAATTCAGTGAACCCTGCTACCAAGTGCCACCCAACGGGAAGGCAGCTCATAAAAACATTACCGTGTGTCTTCATCCATCTTATTCATTGGACTAGCACATGAGACTTCTGGCTCTTCCTCAAAGTCAAAATGACCATGAAAAGTGAACATTTTGAATCCATTCAGGACATCTAGACCACCATGACACTGCAACTAAAGACACAAAAGAAGACTTCTAAAACTGCTTCAGAAAGTGGCAAGAATGATAGGATTAATTTTTTTGAAACAAGAGTGGGATTAATGGCAATTCATCTTTTACTGTATTTTTTAATTCAAACATCCACTGTGTATTTTGATCACACCTCATGGTTCATA